GTAGAAGTTGACGGCACTCATTTAGACCAGGCTTTTGCCTCCTTTTTTCTGACTGAAAATCAATACGATCTTATCACAACAGTAAAAAAGACTCCATATTCTCCTCCACCATCCCTCCCACCCGGGGCAGTTTGTTTCGGTTGTTGTGTATCGGTGAACATGGCCTCTGCTGTAGATTATGGCACACAACATTATTTATTCATGGCCGTGGAACGATAGATGCGGTGCACGCTCCTCCTGAGTATCGTCCATCTGTTAGCCCGCACTGTACACACTGATGTAATACGTGAGTCCTCAGGAGGCGCACTAATAGCGGTTCTTGTGTTTAACGCTTCACACTATTTATCTGTGTAATAACACTGCCGTTAATTATAATTACTGCCCTGTCGTTGGAGTGTGATTTATCCGTCCCCGAAGAAGTGCAAGACAAACAAATGTGACCTTACTGCTTTTTATTTGATCACCATGAGTTCACCCTCTCACGACACCTCTACATGGGAACAGCTCAGGTCTAATTGCTCCCTATAAGACACTCTATAATCCGTCTCTGAGGACTGCTGTACACATCATTTTACACAAAGCTGCAGATAATTTAATTTCCATCCAGGGAGCTTTCAGTGTACGGCTGTAATAGAAAAGGAAGATTGCTGCCAGATTTCCAACACAAGTGCCTCTGTATCACGATCATGAAATTGAATCAGCAAAATCAGTTTTCCTTCATTGATTGTTTTTCTCATGAATTAGTAGAGTGTACTTAAGTTGTTTGAATGTCCCCAAGGCAGATTGATAAATGACAACACATCATGATACTTTGCACATCTCTTGTGTTTTTGAGGCATGTTTAATAGTCTCGCTTTTAAAACTAGTTTTTTATTTTCTTTATAGCGATAAGATCATATTCTTTTGCATCACATTATCTCCATTTGCACATCAACAAAGATGAATATTTTAGACACAAAATAAGGACATTTAACAAACATTACGACCACTGAAGACAATGTTCAAGGCTCTTTCATATACATTTGATCTTGGATGAAATTGCATAATTAATGTTATGATTGACTTTATTAGACCTATAAGTATGCATGAATTGTTTATACTAAGTGTAAATTACTTTTGAATTGAGCACACTGGAGATTAAATGTGATGCCTTTACTCTGATCTGTTACCAGATGCTGTGATTTATGTTGCACTGAGCGCTGTTAAAAATAAACATAAATTATAAGAAAATAGACTCAGCTGCAGACAGCTTATATAATAATGTTCTTAGGTGTAAAGATACTACTCACATTCTGAGGAGCAACGCATTAGCAGACTATAATACCATGCTTTATCGTGTGCTTTAGTAGCTACACACACACACACACACACACACACACACACACACACACACACACACACACACACACACACACACACACACACACACACACACTGTACAACCTGATCATCTATTTAACATGTATATAGACTCCTGCATTTATGTGGTCACTTACAACAGTCTCTGCGACATTTCATTTAGTATTTTATTGTATTTGACATGAAGTTCTCTTCTCCTGTATACTTGCACATTGGTCTTGCAACTTAATCTTGCACTTTCATTTCTACTCAGTTTCCTGTTTCACTATTTTTATTATTTTTGTATTGTTATGTGTCTTATATATATTTATGTTGCATTGTTGGTAGAGCCTGGGACTTAAGATGTTCTTTGCCATAACTAATGGCAATAAAGCCTTTGAATCTTGAATCACCTCCGGGGGACAGAATCTGTGTGACCCATCTTTATAAAAAAACACACAGCTGCTACAATACACTGCAGTGTGGAGGGGTGTCTCACTTTGATCTTTAAATACCCTCTAACGCTAAGGCACGCTCATTGGCTTTGATTTCTTTTTTTCTTCTACAACTGCTGTGCAAAATGCAGACTCTCCCTTGAATCTCAGAATGCGAGAACACCTATCCACTCTTTTTATTTTTTTCCTTCCTCCAGCACCACCACCATCTGTCCCTTTCTTCCATTTCATGTGCTCCAGCAATATCCACACCCCTCTCATAGCAACAGCACCCCCCGCCTCCCCCATGCGTCTTGCAGTGAATTTTCCCTCCCCTGGATCTTCTTCTCGCACCATGCAGACGGTCCCTTGGCCCTGCCTGACGGTTCTCTGTTCCCCCCTCCCCCACCTCCGCGCTCCTGTTTCACTCAAAGATGGCGTCGGCTCTAGAACCCCTGCTCTGTGGCTGCATTTTTTAGCCTTGTTGTTGTCTCCATTACGCACGATTTTTGGCACCTTCTCCGCGGCGGTTGGACACTGAATTCCCGGTGAGTAGCAGCGGACGCCGGATGGGAGATCTAAGCGGTTTTTTTACACGGTGTGCTTTACTTCCCCTTTGGATACCAGAACCGGACCACCAGCTCGGGATTTTCTGGGGGGAACCGCGAGAGGGAGAGAGGGGTACGGAGGGGATGATGATCGCTGAGGTGGGTGTGGGGGGTTACGGAGGAGGAAAAGGAGGCCTATATCATCGGCTCCAGCGGCCTTGTGTTCACCGTACCGCAGGCTGTGTGGTTACGTGGGAGGGAGGAAGTCAGCGAGTCTAAGCGGGCTCCTCGCCCAGAGAAAAGGGCTAACAAGGAGGCCGTTTAGCATGTAGTGCTGCAGACTCTATTTTCTCTGCACTTGTCCGCTAGCCGCGATGGCCGTCTGTAAGTTGCATTGTGCCCTTTTACAAGGCCGCGGTTTACCGTTTATATCTGAATGACATTCAAAAGGAGATTGTTTCCCTCGGTTGGATGCTCAGTGTTGTCTGAAATATTACTTACATGGGGAAACGTTTGCATTTGGAGCCGGAGCACAGGCTAACTGCTCGTTTCAGGCTGTTTACGTTTCAGTAACATAACCGTAACGTTAGCTCGGTGGCTAGCTTCTACCGTTAGCTCGCTAAACAACAGCAGTAAGCGGGAAGGCTTGTTGTCAGACACTGAGCAACATCATATCATATCAGAGAGAGTAAATAGCAAAGCAGGAGACAGTTTGGCAATGCGGCAATTGAATTAGCTCTGTTTTTTTGGCTAGCATCTCAGCTAATGTTTGCTAACAGTCTGTGTTTTGACTGCATCATGTTTACCTTAGCAACCCAACTGGCCCTATGGTCAACTTGCAAGTGAAGTTTTTAGGAAGAGGTTGTTTACCTTTTTTATACATGATAATTTCCATCATGTTATGACACACGTGTGCCATTTTAGTGGTTGTTTAGGGTTATGCTCATTCACCTGTTCGACTACACTTGCTGTTGCATATACGAGTTATATGGTGCACAACAAACATTATCAAGCTGTGTAACATTAGTCAGATTCTTCCTCTTCTTAATTTACAGTTTTTTGGTAGTGCTTAAACAAACTCCCTAGTAGTTGCTAAGGGCATGCATGATGTCTAGCTTACCAACCCAACCTATGGTCAACTTGCAAGTGAACCTTTTACGATGATGTTGTTTACCTTTTATACATGATCATTTCCATCATGTTAAGACACACATGTGCCATTTTTAGTGGTGGTTTATGGTCATAATGTTACCAGTTTGTTGTTATTATAGGTTCTGTGGTTCATAAAAAACATTATCAAGCTGTGTAACAGTAGTAATATTCTTCCTCTTCTTAATTCTCAGTTTTTTTGGTATTGCTTAACCAAACGTCCTAGTGCTTTTTAAGGACATGCATGGCTTTGTTTATACATATGTGAGGGACAGTATGTAATGTTTATAAAAATGTACCCTCTCTTACCTTATCTGTTTCTCATTCAAACTCATCATCCTTTAAAGATTTGACTTTATTGGTTTATGCTTACTACTTCATCAAAATGTATGGATTTTTCTGGAAGATTTTTGCTAACCTTTGTCTTTGTGTGTTTTCTGTGCAGGGTTTGACAGCTACTGAAGTGCAAAAGGCGTGAAGGAGATCAGTCGTGGCTGATCCCTGGGGTGAGATATCTGTTCCGTCCCAGAGCTGAGAAGCCCAGACTGCTGGAAGAGTAAAAGCAAGCGAGAAACGACAACGAGGAAACGTGGAATCAGAAAATAGTTCCTGTCGGGTGGAATGTTATAATCTACAGACTGCATTGCCCTCATCGTAATCATTGAAACACAAATTTCATTTCTTGGATACCATGATCCTCTTTCCTGACTTGCATTGAGAGTTGGTTAGTTTGCCGGAGGCAGGAAACTGACCTATCAGGTTTTATTGTCTTTGTAAAGGTGTTTTGCTACAAGTGGGAACACCAACATTTCAAAGCCCTTATCGCCAAGATCTACTCTACCCTTCTTTGTGTGCTGTGGGAGTTTACGTTGCTAACAGACCTGCAACTTCCTCCACTCCCCCTGCCTCTCGCCAGGGACCTTCACCTGGCTGGGAGTGGGTGGTGAGTGGACGGCATTTTACTGGGTGGAAGGTTGGCTCGGGGCTGTGCTATGGTTAGCTGCTCATCACCGTGTTGCTCATACTCAGCCTCTGAGGGACTCTCTGTGCGTCCCCAGGACAAGGGATAGTACGCAGACAGAGGGCAAAAGAGAAGGAGGAGGCGGCGCTACGGCGCAGGCCAGGAGTCTCCTTGGCTTACAGTTCCTTTTTTGTGTTTGGGTCATTGCAGTGAGGCTTCAGGGCCCCTGCACCCACCCTGACTGCAACCATGGTGAAACTGGCCAACCCAGCGTACACCCAATGGATCCTAGAGGCCATCAAGAAGGTGAAGAAGCAGAAGCAGCGACCATCCGAGGAGCGCATTTGCAATGCGGTCAACATGTCCCATGGTTTGGACCGCAAAACTGTTTTCGAGCAGTTGGAGCTTAGCGTCAAGGATGGTACCATCCTTAAGGTCACAAACAAAGGTCTCAACTCCTACAAGGACCCTGACAACCCTGGACGCTTGGCTCTGCCCAAGCCCAAAGGTGGTGGCAGCTCTGGGGGAGGAGGAGGAGGAGGAGGAGGAGGAGGTGGAGGTGGAAGCAGCAGCAGTGGAGGTGGTGGTGGTGGTGGTAGTTCACACTCCCATTCGGTGAAGAAACCTGGACTCGAGTGGAACAAGTTGATAAAGCGGGCACTGGAAGGGCTCCATGAGCCCGGTGGCTCCTGCTTAAAGAACATTGAGCGCTTTCTCAAGTGCCAGGCTGATGTGGCGGCCTACCTTTCAGGCAGCGGCTCCATGGGGCCCGGCATCTTCCACCAGCAGCTGAGGGTGGCCCTGAAGAGGGCAGTGGCCCATGGACGCGTGGCCAAGCAAGGTCCCATGTTCCAGCTCATTAGCCGCAGCAGCAACAACCTGGATGACGGGACCGGGACGGTGTCTCTGGGATCACTGCCTCCTGTCCGGTTGTTGCCCCATGAGAAAGACAAGGTAATGTCTACACACACATCTGCTTGAAGCTCACATGTAAAGCTGTGTACATGCACATCACACTTGCACACATTTAATAATACACACTTCATTATTGCACAACTATCATTCGGATGTTGCTGGTCAGCTGAGGTAGCAACGTTTTATTGTACACATTACTCTTGAAAAAGATAAGTGGGTGCAAAGCACTTTGATCTGTTGGCATCACATTCATCAGATAAGATAACGGATATCCTGTTAAACAACACCAACTCTAGTCGAGAAAATAGTGACACTAAATCGTCTGGCTCCTCAGTTAAAACTGGAGTAACAGAAAGAAAGCAAGTGGGATCTGTGGAAGTAACAGAAAACACTCTCTTTCTTTTTGAAATCCAATCAGCACTCTCTACTTGCATAATAGCTGGTGCACGTCACCCAGATTTGTCCAGATCTCCCAGCTGGCAACACCCGAGACGTTGGCACTGTTTCTGCTCTCTTTCATTCAAATAGGTTGTGGGCTATAGCGCTGTAATGTACTACAGCTCAGTATGGGCACAGACTGTGTGACTGTTAGTTGTGAGTGTTCATGCAGCATATGGTGTTGTGGTTTCCAGCAGATAGCACATTGCAAAGTTATTTTAGTAGTGGCTGAGATGGGTGGAGCAACATCTGTAGGATCAGAAATATACCAGTGAGGGTCTCTCTCCAAGCTGGAGTCTGCATCTCTGTGTTCAAACAGTATGAAGGGGATGCCAATCTCTCCTTATCGTTTACGGTCACATTTGAAATCAGAATCAATTTGAACTCAACATCGTTCCTTTATTAGTACATGTTTGTTCTTATTTCAGAGTTGAATCCACTGTGTGCTACGGGGTGCGGTGTGGCACATTTTGGCATGTAAAGTGTATCTAAGATTAAGGAGTTTCTATTTTTGGAAAAAGTCTTATCAACTTCTTGCAATAATATAAACTAAAAAAGGCAAACTTGAAACAAAAGTTAACATTTATTGATGCTAAACTTGCAAACGTTCTACCGAAATTTGTATTGCTCAATTCTCAGTCACAGTTATACAACAAAAACTACCTGTTACACAAACAAAATGTTTTTTATGTCTCAAAACGCCAATTGTAAAAATGAATTGTACACAAAATACATTTTATCATGGGAGATTTTTCAGCAAATCCACAGTAATTTTTTTAAAATGACTTCTACTAGTAGCAATATCCAGGTTATTTGATAGAATCTTAGAAGATACAAATCTTGAATCCCATTCCCACCGATATGTATCAGATTGTGTTTGGGTGGACAGGGGTATCGGGTCAGAAAACATGTTAGAAAGACCTCACTGAACCAAGTGGGTAGGCGTTAAATATTTTGGGTGATTATGAGTGGCAGCATCTCAGGAGTGCCCGCCCTGGTCCAGACGAGGAACATCAGAGAGGTGATGGGTGGGCGGCTGGTGGGCCAGTGTTCAGCAGACATGGAGGTCAGGGGGGAGAGTCACATGCCTCCCAGCCTCCTGTAGGGAGTGTGGACCAGCTGCAGTGGAGATGGCTGAGAGAAAGACAGGAAGAAAGGAAAGGAGAGCAAGACAAGAGAGGGGTGGTGTGTAGTGCTGCCAGAGGAAGAGGACTGGATGACGCAAACTACAGGCCTCTGCAACCAGTAAGGAGAGAGGGAGAAGAAAGCAAGAGAGACAGAAAGAGGGAGAGGCAGACATACAGGCGACAGAGGAGAGAGGAGACACACCCACTTCTGTAACCTGATCAGAGAGCAGCTGGCTGCTAACCTCTGCTTCTAAAGGGCCAGGGACATATGTACACACACACATTAAACCATTCAACTGCATTCAAAAGGGGAAACGCAGAATGGCACGGACATAAACACAAATTAAGTGCGTTCTGACACGAGACCACACATCGCATGTCATAAATCCCCTTCTTTAGATGCCGGCAGACGTGCACACACGCATTCTAACAACCAGCATGTAAATAAACCCGTTGGAGCTACTATGTGCCAGCATCGTGGCCCATCATCGGCTTGTGTGTCACTCGGGTTATCAGACAGCCAGCCGATCTTAAGGAAACTAAAGCAGCCTTAAACACTGTTTTGACTGGCTTCTGGCTTTAGCTGGCCCCTGAGTGTGTGTGAGTGTGTGTGTGTGTGTGTGTGTGTGTGTGTGTGTGTGTGTGTGTGTACAAGTCTGTGCACAAGTCTGTGCAGCTACAGAAGCACATACACACATGAAGTAGGATTAGCCCAGGGAGCAGGCTGCACTCACATGGGGTCGGCCTAACACAGTGGCCGTTTCTCACTGTCGAGTATACTTCCTGCAGAACCACTATTTCAAGTATACTACGTCATCGAGTGGCGCCGAAGGACTGTTTTTAAATGCCCAGCATTCAGCGCCACTCGATGACGTAGTAAACTTAAATAGTGGCTCTGCAGCAGGTATACTCGACATTGAGAAACGGCCACTGACCTGCTTGGCTGCAGACGGCCGACTCTTAAGACGAACGGAGATTAAACCCCTCTGTCTTCTGACTCAACTACTGATCGGCCCGATCCTCTGTCTCACAAACCATATGCAGACACAAACAAAGTAATGCATACCTCACTGTGGTTATTAAAGAAGGGTGAATTAATACATAGGTGACTGCAGAGATACATCGATTTTTATCGGGCAAATAATAACTGAATCAAGAAAATAATCCACAATAAGAACAAGAGTTAGTCGCGTAGGACATTCTGTATATTCAAACCTATTGTTGTCATCGAAGGAGCTTGAGCACAACACAATCCCACCCTGTTGCATTAGGGAAATTGTGCACCAGTCAAAGATTTCAAATGAATGTGTGGACATGAACAGGGAGATGTTCCTTTAGTGTGTGAGTGTCGTCATCTTCGGGCTAGATGGGGCATGCAGAATTGACATTTCCGTCTGGCATTCACACAAGCCTGTTTATCCCTCCTCGCTGCTTCGCTTTCTTTTGATGTTGCCTTCCTATCTCTCTCCAGAGGATGCAACCTTATTGCGGCTCAATCACGTGTGTCTGTTGGTGTGTTGTCGCTTGATGTATCTGTTAGTCTCTTCGAGTGACATATGCGTCAAAGAGATATAAACTGTGCGTGGAAGACAGAGTCGATGTTGCATGATCGCTCTCCTCCGTTCTCCCACTCTTCCAGCGCGGCATCATTGCCATATTGCCCCGCATGATTGCTAACAGTTATGATTTCCCAAGTAAATGGGGGG